GTCCAACACTGATCTCTGTCCAACTAGTATAGGTCTCCAATCTGAAGAAGAAGAAGAAGAAGAAGAAGAAGAAGAAGAAGAAGAAGAAGAAGAAGGAGAAGAAGAAGAAGAAGGAGAAGAAGAAGAAGAAGATGAAGGAGAAGAAGAAGGAGCCGAGGAGGAGAGGAGGAGAGGGAGCGAGAGGGGACTGGCGATGGGAGGGAGGAGAGAAACCTCCAACTCCCGGTACCTCAGGCGGCTATGGCCGCCGGTAACCCAGTCGCCGCTGCTGCTGCTCCGCTTGCTGCTCCTGCGCTGCCTGCTCCTCGCTCCTGCGCTAAACATAGCGCTCCAACGGCACTCTGGTGCCGACCTTACCGCACCATATCGTATACCGGTGGGTCAATCCTCGAGTGAGGCCGGACCGGTTCTATATACCGGTGGGGCAGAGGCCGGCCTCAATGCTGCGAGGCCTGGCCGTGCCCTGAACCGTCCAGATGGACGGTTCAGCCCCAACCGGCRGGCGGCAGCCTSAAGAGCGCCGCCAGGCCCAAACGGTAATGTCGTTTGGGCCTGCCCGTCGGGTCTGGTCCAAGGTGAGGCCTTTATGGCCTGTAGTACCCCAAGGTCGGGCCTTTCGGCCCTGATGTGTCCCTCTAGCCCTAAGTCGGGTCCGGTAGGACCCGTGTGGCGTCGGAGATGTAACAGTGAGACATGCCCTTAGTCTGTAACTTCTGCTCCATTTGGGCAATTTTCAAGAACGAAGGGTCTCTCCACTTGCTCTCTACCCCTCCACTCTCGAAACTGGGTTGAGAGTTGTTAGAGAGAGGCCTTCGAGAGGACTGTGGATTTTCGGAGAGTCTACAGCCTGCAGCACTCTCAAAAAAAGTGGAGAGTCCTGTCAGGGACCCTTAACTCCTGAGCTGAAATTAAGAGTAACTACTACTTTTCTCTTTTTTTTCTTTTGGGGGGTGTTGTGTTAAGAATAGAAAGAAGGAAAAGGATAAGAGAGGGAACGGGATTTCTTCTGAAATCCAGTGCCTGAAAGGCTGAAAGCTCCGGGTTCATTCTCGATCTTGGGGATGAAGCCATAGTAGTAGACTAAGTGAAGAGAGGCCCAAAGGGCCTTGCCATACCACTCACAAAAGGAAAGATAATGGGAGTGAGTTCTCTCATCCCATAGAAGTTGGCAACAGACTTCAAACCAAAACAAAGACTTTGAATCCCTTTTTCTGATGAGTCCATCCACCTACTGTGGGAAGATGCACTCACATTGTTTTTCAGTTTGTGAGTCACTGGGGTGTAGCGAGGCTCAAAGTGGCAGCCATTAACCAACCCTTTTGTCTGATAGCTTGTGTTCGTTATTGTCTGTTTATACAAACGCCTGCGCCTCCCAACGGTCGTCACCTGAACATAAAGCCCCGTTGTTATAGCTGTATTTGGGGCAACTTTCGGTCTAGATATATGAGCCATAATGACCAGGCCTTCTCTTTTCCCAAGTATGTAGTGCGAGTATGCTCTCAGGCAGACAGCTCAGGGATGCTCTGCGAGTATGCTGTCAAGCAGACAGCTCAGGGATGCTCCCGCTTCCCCAGGAAAAGACCACTCTGCTCTTGCAGTACTTGTCGGCCTAGTTTAGTCATGTCGACAGATGGAGTGATCTAGCGGAGTGCATTCATCATCCATTTGAGGCGGCTGAGCTCTGCTGGCTTCACCTTCCCCCCTCTCCAAGCACAACACACACGAATGTATCACATCACACGGGAAAAGGGTGGGGGGAATCGGTAGATAGAGCCAATGCGGAAACCTTTTTGGTTTTCCGCCCCCAAACTTTTGCCAATTGGCAAGAAGGGCCCACGGGCAATACAGACCGTTGGAGTCCATTCCACACTGGAGTTTTTCTTGCATGACTGATGGCATACTCACAGTGTCACGAAAGGACTTTCCTGGATGCATCAGATCACAATTACAGCTCTACCTGGATGTATCTAACTGCAAAAACGTCCAGAGGTCAGTCGAAAAGGTCCTAAATTAAATGTCTGATTGAGCGCCGTGTCCACCCATGAGCTCGTCTGTAAGAAGAAAACTAGGGTCAAGGTCACAGAAGGACTTTTGCCACTGATCTGTGCAGGTATTTGTGGTCAGATTCACCGTGATGTGGACGTGATTGCATCTAGATACACAAAAGGAAGAGTGCAACTAGAGTCAAGGTCACACAAGGACTTTTGCTACTGATCTTTTCATGTATTTGCGGTCAGATTCATTGCCACGTGGACGCGATTGCATCTAGATACGCAAAAGGAAGTCTGCACTCGGTGAGTGTGCTTTCCGCCGCCGATCAGTTTGCTTGGCAACGCGATTGCTGCATTCTTCTTTTGTATCGAATCTAACTTGTGACGGACTCTGCTCCAGCTGGTTGTCCCTGCAGTAACTCTGTTCTTTGGGACATCACAGACGTTTAAAATTTGAACAATACATAGATGATTAACATGGCCCCTCCACACACAATGTCACACATAATCCGAGATATGGTCTGGAAAGAAAAGAAAAGCAAAAGACGAAAAAGAAGAAGAAGAAGAAGAAGAAGAAGAAGAAGAAGAAGAAGAAGAAGAAGAAGAAGAGAACTGGCTATGGCTGCAGCTCCCTTCACATAGTTGACAGGGATAATTAGCAGAAAGCGCCCATGCCAAAACCTTTTCGGTTTTGGGTGCCCAAAGTTTGGCCATTTGGTACTACCGGCCCAATCGTCTTCAGCCTGGGTGAAAAGGGCATTCGCGCCGTGGCCACAGCTCCCTTGGCCTGTTTTTACCGGTTCATGAATTTGGCGCTGTTCTTGCGCCAGATTCGCGAACCGGTAGACCCCTTCTTTTTCAAAATACGGTAGGTGGGCCTCATTCTTCTATCCTTCAGCGGTACCACACTCGGCCTCTTCTACATTAAAATGAACCTGGCACTGTTTATGCGCCAGATTCATGATCCAGTAGGGCCCTTGGAGCTATGCGCAAGCCTGTTGTACCCCACATGGAAAACATTTGGGAAGAGTCATAAAACCTCCCCGCGACGAAACCTTTGTATCGTTTCCCCCCCCCCAACGGCGAAAAAGGTGCTGCAGGCCCCAAAATCACTTTCCGTGTCATTTTTGCACCCTGCAAAACACTTTCCCACCATTTTTACACGGTGGCCGTTACCGGCCCAGCCAGGGTGCAAAAATGACACCAAAAGCGATTTTGGGACCTGCGGCACTTTTTCTCTCGTTTGGGGGGAAATGCATACAAAGGTTTCGTCGCGGGGAGGTTCACGACTTTTCCCAAACGTTGGTCCGGTAGTACCGAACGGCCGACCTTCGCGCGGTTAAAACCGAAAAGGTTTTGGCGTGGGTGCTTTCTACCAATTATCCCAAGCTGACAGATTCAGACTCTGAGTCTTCAGACTCCTTCAGATATAGATGGACCGCATACCATGTGGCGATGCATCTGCTTTCTTACCTTGAACTGTTGACATAGAGACCTGAGCTGAAATCCATATGTTTTTTATTTGGATATCTGCAGGTTCATTCACGGCTGGCCTCGTTCTCGGTAACACAACCATGGAGAGGGAGAGGGTTGCCCGTGGGAACTTTCTGGTAATATGGGTTCTTCTCATCGGCCTACTGATTTGGCCGGCTGGGGGAAGCAGGAAGCTTGAGGAGACGTGTGGAGGCAGCGAGTGCCCCAGTGGGATGAAATGCTGCAGCAGCGTTTGCAAGGAATGCTGTGGAAATGCGCATTACAAACTGGGAAAGTCTGCTGTGACGGACAGTGTGAAGATGGAGAATGCTGTCCTGGAAGACCAAACTGCTGCAACGGCGCGACATGCACTGCTGGCACCAAATGTTGCGATAAAGTGTGCAAGGGTTGTTGCAGTAATGAAGACTGCAAAACTGGGGAGTTGTGCTGCGAAGGGCAATGTGAAAGTCGACAATGCTGCCCCAGAGACCTGTATTGCTGCAACGGACAGCCATGTCCCGCTGGCACTCACTGCTGCGATGGAGAGTGCAAGGCTTGCTGCAGTAACGGGGACTGTGAAACTACGGAGGTCTGCTGCAAAGGACAATGCCAAAGTGGCGAATGCTGCCGTCTGAACCCGGATTGCTGCAACGGGACTATATGTGCTGAAGGCACCGACTGCTGCAATGGAGAGTGCAGTGCTTGCTGCAGTAATGGGGACTGTGGAGCTGGGAAGGTCTGCTGTGACGGAAAATGCGAAAGCGGTGAATGCTGCCCTGGGAACCCGGATTGCTGCAACGGGACAAAATGTGCTGAAGGCGCCAAATGCTGCAATGGAGAGTGCAAGGCTTGCTGCAGTAACGGGGACTGTGGAACGACGGAGGTCTGCTGTGACGGAAAATGCCAAAGCGGTGGATGCTGCCCTGGGACGCTGGGTTGCTGCAATGGGAAGACATGTCCTGCGGGCTCCCAATGTTGCAATGGAGAGTGCAAGGCTTGCTGCCGTAACGCGGATTGCAAATCTGGGTACGTCTGCTGCGGGGGACAATGCCAAAGTGGTGACTGCTGTCCTGGGACCCTCGGCTGCTGCAACGGACAGGTGTGCAGGGCTTGCGACAAGGACTGCGGGCCCGGAATGATCTGCTGTAACGGAGAATGCAAAACTGGTTCCTGCTGCCCTGAGAACCCGCTTTGCTGCAGCGGAAAGACATGTCCTGAGGGCACCAAATGCTGCAATGGAGTGTGCCAGGCTTGCTGCAGTAATGCGGACTGTGTAGCCGGGTATGTATGTTGCGAACGACAGTGCCAAATTGGTGAATGCTGCCCTGAGACCCCGGGTTGCTGCAACGGAACGGTGTGCAAGCCTTGCGGCAGTAGCAGTGACTGTGGGCTCGGAATGATCTGCTGCAACGGAGAATGCAAAACTGGCGACTGCTGCCCTGAGGACCCTGGATGCTGCGGCGGAAGGACATGTGGGTCTGGTTATGTCTGTTGTGACGGACAGTGTCAAATTGGTGAATGCTGCCCTGGGACCCCGGATTGCTGCAACGGAAAGGTGTGCGTGGTTTGCGGCAGTCACAATGACTGCGGGCCTGGAATGGTCTGCTGCAATGGAGTGTGCAAGTATTGCTGCAGTAACGGGGACTGTGGAGCTGGGTATGTCTGCTGTGGCGGTCGTTGCCAAGGACTTAGTGGTGATTCTGGTGAATGCTGCAATGAACAGGTATGCCCTGCAGGCACCTACTGCTGCAATGGAGTGTGTGCGAATTGCTGTAGTGACATGCACTGCGACCCTGGGATGGTGTGCTGCAAAGAAGAAGGATGCGTATATGCAGGATGCTGCCCTAGTGACCCGAATTGCTGCAACGGAAAACCATGTCCCGCCGGCGAACAATGCTGTAGCGTAGAGTGCAAAAGTGGTGGCTGCTGCCCTGAGGACCCCGGTTGCTGCAACGGAGTGACATGTGATAGGAGGACCAATTGCTGCAATGGAGTGTGCATGGCTTGCTGCCATGATAGCGACTGCGGGGCCGGGTTGGTCTGCACTGATGGACAATGCACACCATTTTGATGTTTACCCCTGATCTGGGAGCCCATATTTTGTGGCAATGGACAGACATGTCCCACTGGCATCCGATGCTGCAATGGAGTGTGCAAGGCTTGCTGTAGTAACGACGACTTCAGGTGCTGGGAAGGTCCGTGACCGTCTGTTGCAACGGACAATGCAAGAGTAGCAGATGCGGCCCTAGGACCCCTGCTTGCTGCAACAAGCAGACACATGTGACCTCCACCCAATGTTGTGGACAAGCATGCAAGGCTTGCTGCAATGACAGTGACTGTGCGGCTGGGGCGGACTTACGTCCTCTTTTTACGGTTCCTTTTTTTTTTCCCCAGAAAGGAGTCGTGTGCTCATTCTTTTCATTACACATCCTCTCCTGAGTCTCCTCCTCAATCGGCCAACCATCCAACGCTACCTTGCGATTCACCACAGCCACCAACTAATTCTAGATGGTTCGCGACTAATGATCATTATGTGTGCCGACCACGTCAATCCTGTGTCTGCTTCGTCCGCGATCCTTGCTTGGGTGGGCTGCCTCTTGTCTAGTCCCCATGGATAGTGTGTCTTAGCACGGACTTTGGCATGGCCTTTGATTGTTTTGTCTGACAAAAAGAGTCTAATTTCGGGTACACACAGGTTTCTTTTCCCCCCAACTAACCCAAAAGAGGGGTTGCACATATAGCCTGGGCTGCTTAGCCCCAGACAGACGATATTGTCGGCTATACCTTCCTGGGGGCCCCACTAGCAAAAAATTCATCACTCATGCCATGGGAACTCAGGGCCCGAGATCCGCTCCAAGTGCCTCCTCTACCAGTTCCAGATACGCCAGGAGAGTTGACGAAAAGGCCATAAATGATTCTTACTAGATTCAAAAGGCCATTTACATGTGGCAAATGTCTATTCCAGTCTATAGCAGGGCAGCCGCCCTACAGACAAGGAGTTAAGAACTGAACCGCTGCAGCTGTTACAAACTTGTGAGCAAAGAGGGAGATCAGTTAGGTGGTGGTAGTCGAGCTAACGCCCATGATCTTCATCGTTTGCATTCGCCACCGCTGTCAGGTACCGTTCGTATTCGGCACAGTCTTCTCTTGTGTTTAGCGAGCAAAGAGAGAGATCAGTTAGTTGGTGTTAGTGGCGCTAACGCCCATGATCTTCATTGTTTGCATTTGCCACCACTGGCAGGTACCATTCGTATTGAATTTCACGATGGTCTTCTCTTGTGTTCGTTGTTGTTACCTTCCTCTTCGGTTCGTGGTAGCCATTCCGTCTTCTCTTCATCCACAATGCTGGCTGGGGTCCAGCTTTTGGGTCCCATAACCTCGGGACTTTTACCAGGCTGCTCAGCCCCTGCTGTGTCCGTTATGGGCCCACCCTTGTCCTCGTCAATGACAGTAGAAGGGCAGCAAGATGGCTGCAAGGTGGGCCCAGGAATCCAGGATTGAAGGAGTTCCAGTTGTCTCTAGGAACTGTTTAGGTTCCCATCTTCCCGCTCAGGGAAGACTGGTGTGCGTTCATGTTTGGTCATTTTTTCGAGGAGTGTGTTCATGTTTGGTCATTTTTTCGAGGAGTGTGTTCATGTTTGGTCATTGTTTCGAGGTGGATGGTATCGCGGGCCAGGGCCTAAATAATGGTTCCTGTGCCTCTGTGAAGTCCCTGTTAAGGTAAGCTGGGTAATGCTCCCAGAATGTGGGGTTCTATGTGAGGTTCCCGACCTCCGTTGAATTATTATAGAAACAAGGGCGGACGCAGCATGTTTTGAGTTCCTGAAGGCACGAAAAACAGGCCTCGGTGACTGTGTCAGGGCCTGAGTTCGAAAAGCCGTCCGTAACTCAGGCCGGCAGTGGTGTCAGGGCGGAGGTTTCATTAAGGTGGTTGTGTTTTTTTTTTTTTTTTGCGCCACAGCTGCAAGGAGATTTTTATTTTTTTGTTTCGTTTTTTTTTTCAGTCGGTCGCACCGTGCTGCGCAGTGCCGCGGCTGGAAAAAAAAAGAAAAAAAAAAAGGTGTATAGGCCCCAGGATCGGCCACGGCCGAGATGTCTCAGCCACACCCCAGATTGGCCATGGCCAAGATGTCTCGGCCACACCCCAGATTGGCCACGGCCGAGATGTCTTGGCCACACCCCAGATTGGCCATGGCCCAGATGTATAGGCCAAACCC